AAAAGTTACAACACTAAGTTGTAGGTAGATTTACTATACTTTATAGCAGTTAAATTATCTTTTCAGGATTCCTGGATCTGAAGTGTTTTGTCATACCTGCTACCTGACACATTTATGAATCTGAATTTCTCGTGGCTGATTCTTCTCCAGATTTGCCTGTTTCATTGTTATCCCTGTCTCCTACTTTCAGAGCCTGAACATCATCTTTGGCCACTAAGTTGTAGGTAGATTTACTATACTTTATAGCAGTTAAATTATCTTTTCAGGATTCCTGGATCTGAAGTGTTTTGTCATACCTGCTACCTGACACATTTATGAATCTGAATTTCTCGTGGCTGATTCTTCTCCAGATTTGCCTGTTTCATTGTTATCCCTGTCTCCTACTTTCAGAGCCTGAACATCATCTTTGGCTCTGTTGTCTACTTCTGCCTACCCACATTTGGACAATCACCAACTCTTGGCCTGTTCAAGCTGTCAGCTGCATCTGTTCCTTCCCATAGTCAGCACCTTAGTTTAGCCTTTGTCATCTCATCTCACTTTACCTTCCTCCACCAGATTGTGAATCCCACTGGAATAGAGATCATGCTATATTTTTTCAGTTTGAAGTCAAATACGCTTTATATCCTAATTTTACTATTACTCCTTATCTTTGGAAAGTTACTTCTTGGAGATCTTTGGCTCTGTTGTCTACTTCTGCCCTACCCACATTTGGACAATCACCAACTCTTGGCCTGTTCAAGCTGTCAGCTGCATCTGTTCCTTCCCATAGTCAGCACCTTAGTTTAGCCTTTGTCATCTCATCTCACTTTACCTTCCTCCACCAGATTGTGAATCCCACTGGAATAGAGATCATGCTATATTTTTTCAGTTTGAAGTCAAATACGCTTTATATCCTAATTTTACTATTACTCCTTATCTTTGGAAAGTTACTTCTTGGAGTCCTGGGTTCTTTGTTTTTTAGGGTTTTTTGTTTGTTTAGCTTTTTTAGTTTAAAATGGGAAATAAGATTTAATTATTGGGTAAATACATATAGAGAGAGCACCTGTTATTGGGGCCAGCAGATAGTTGCATTGCTGTACTCCCACATGGCTAAGTGCAATTTGAGACTTAGTGACTTCAAACTCACACTGGATGTGTGTACATTCATGCCCAAGATTCCAGAAGGAGAATGGAGGAGAAGAAATTGCAGCATGGTCATCCACCCAGGGATGATTTCTCACTTTTTATCACTGTGTCTCCAGTGAGAACACATGCCCTATAGCCAAAAAATCTCTCAAGGGGCCAGCAGGTGGTGTGGTGGTTAAAGCCCTGGACATTCCCATGTGGCTGACCACGGTTTGAGTCCCGGACCTGGTGGCTTGCTTTCTCACGTTCCTTTCCTCTGTGTCTGTCTTTCTCTAGTCAAATTAAAATAAATGAGTGGATAAATAAAACTAAATAATTCCTTAAAAGAATCTGTTCTCAAAAAATAAAAAATTAGGATTTAAGTACTGGTTTGAATGAAAAGCACAGATAAAAGTCCCCTCATGGCTTTGACATTTTAGAAGGTGTAGGTGTCTGGCATGCAGTAGATAAGCAAATGTTATCCTGGATGCCAGGTTGACCTGATCATAAAAAAGATGAATCACTAGGGGCCAGGCAGGTGGGGTGGTGGTTAAGGCACTGGATTCCCACATGGCTGGCTGTGGTTCAAGTCCTGGACCCAGCAGACTGCTTTTTTCTCTTTCCTGTTCTCTCTCTCTGTCTCTCTCTGGTAAAATTAAAACAATAAAAATAATAACAAATAAAAATAAATAAATTTAAAAAAAAAAAAAAAGAATCACTTAAGGGGGGGGGGGGGCGTGATTGTATTTTGAATACAAGAAGAATGTAAATGGTTTGTAGCCAGGAGGATTATGACAAACTCAGATGCACAAAATCTTTGATACTCCTTTTAAGAAGTGGGATCTATGTTCATTTTGAATTTGTATAAGTTTTGTGATTACATTATTGAGTAGAATATCACAATGTCCATTTTACCCAGGACTTAAGACACTGGTAGTTTCTACTTCCCTTTCTGAAACAACCAGTCTTACAACCCACGTGATAATGCTGTGAGGAAGACCAAGGAGCCTCATGTAGAGCCCCACAAGAAGAA